AGCAATGCAAACACTGACTTTTTGCTGAGAAGGCAGTGTTTACACCAAAAAGCCTCCATGGTATATAGTCACCAGAACCACTACATCAAGCGGTAGTGGTTCTGGTGACTATAGTGTACCTTTAAGAATTGCACTTTCTTGTTGAAAATGACTGGCTCCTAGATTCCAAACAAATTTGTCAAGCCCTGGTCAAAGGAATAATGGCCTACCTGGTTTGTACAGAATGAATATGAGATTTGGAAATTCTTAGGGCAAGGCCTATACGTTGTAATATCAGATATCTTTGAAGTTTCAGTGCGGCAATGATAGTCTATAAATACTGTAACAAGACACACTATAAGAAAAAAGTATACACGTCCATAAATCACAAGGTATGATATGACTTATGCTCCCATCCTTTAAGGATTTTCAAGTTTCAGTACAAGTGTATTGATATCTAGGCCAGCATTATCATTATTCCCCTAGGAACTAGTGTGAATACCGTGATGTTTGCTTAATTAACACAATTGTTCTATCAGTGTAGCCACTGTGATGCTTATACTTTAACAATATATAAGTAGGCTTGGTTCTCTAGTGTTGCTGGAGGACTATTTAACTGTGATTAAGCTGTTCTATATGACGTGACGCTAGTAACCTTGATGATAGTTTACATTTTTAGTCCCACATTTAAATAAGAGACTGTTGTAAAGTGCATTGTTATCCCTGGGAGCCCATCTGGCTAAATTAATACACACACACACGACTACTACAACACATGGCGTAACATCAATCCTCAGATGAGGGATTACACATACTACTCTCAGGTTCACATGACCTATTCAAGAATAGATTTGTGGGCATCTCTGTCCTGGAGACCCAGCAAAAACACAATCCTACCAGGGCATTTCACGACAAACTGAGAATACTAAAAGTGGGCTTACACTCACTACAACTACAAGATACAGAGAAACAGATGAGATACCTAAAGCAAAGCTACTACACAGCAGGTAACAAAGCGGGGAAACGATAAGCTAAGAAACTTAAACAACAACACCTTCAAACAAATATTCCGTACATGACATCAAAGGCAGGGTTCAAAATGTATAAGCCCCAGGATATAGTAAACACACTAGCCAACTACTACGAATCCCTATACCAGCTACACAAGGACCCGGAGGCCCACCAACCTTCTAAAAGAAAGATAGACCAATTCTTAGACCAGGTGGAACTCCCCAACTCACAGGTGACCAGTGCAATCACCTGAAAAAGCCATTTACAGAGGACAAAGTCAGGTTGGCGATAAAATCCTTACCCGAACACAAATCTCCAGGACCTGACGGTCTGTCCAATTACTATTACATCACACTAATAGATCAACTCACCAACCCCCCCCCTCCACAACTGTTCAACACTATTAAACAAACAGGGACCCTACCTAGGGAAATGCTGGAAGCATTGATACTCACACTGCCTAAACCCAATAAACCCTCAACGCTCTGTGCAAATCTCCGACCCATTTCTCGGAAGAACAAGCGGGATTTGTACCTGGGAGACAGGTGGGGGACAACACAAGGCACTTCATAAACCTTATAGACTGGGCAAATTGTTCTTCGCGGGAAGGACTGATATTAGCATCAGATGCGGAAAAAGCGTTTGACCGCCTACGTTGGGGGTACATGGAACAAACGCTATCTAAGACGGGATTCCCAATACCTTTCATCAAAAGTATTATGGCTCTATATCAAAATCCATCAGCCAAAGTTTTTAGCATAGGGTTCCTATCCAAACCCTTCATCATCCAAAATGGAACACGACAGGGCTGCCAGCTGTCACCACTTATTTTCATACTATAATATAAATAATATAAAAAAGGATACAAAGGCGCTAAAACTAGTAAACCCTGGTGCAGGTAAAATTACCCAAGTGTAGTATCACCAAATACACTTACAAATGTGATATAATAAAAAAGAAAGGAAAGGGGTGATTAGCGTACACAGAATAAGATGAGTGTTACCATATATTAAAAAAAATGACTCAGGTAATCATACACAGATTGTTCTTGTGACCTGTATACAGGTAAATAAAATATACATAGTGTAACCTGTATACAATATAGAAAATGAGGAAAATTTGAGTCTCACTCACAATTTCCAGAGCCTTTTAAAAGTTGGCTCTAAACTTATAACACTTCTCGTCTCTTCCTTGAGACACAGGTAATTGGTATAGATGTATCCACAGGAACCTGGAACTGATGAATTAGCAGCAGACTCCAAAATAAGGAGTTATTTTTATTGTAACAAATTATTAAAATAAAATGTATGTATTTACAAAAAAATTGTATGTATATACAAAAAAATTGTTTAAAAGCACAACGCGTTTCAACCATACATAGGTCTTTCTCAAGTGCATCTAATTTCACTCTGAGCTCAAAATTCTTTATATATCAGAGGATACCATCAGATGCGGAAAAAGTGTTTGACCGCCTACGTTGGGGGTACATGGAACAAACGCTATCTAAGACGGGATTCCCAATACCTTTCATCAGTATTATGGCTCTATATCAAAATCCATCAGCCAAAGTTTTTAGCATAGGGTTCCTATCCAAACCCTTCATCATCCAAAATGGAACACGACAGGGATGCCAGCTGTCACCACTTATTTTCATACTATGCCTAGAATGCCTCATCAACCAGTCCCCTCAAATAAAAGGCCTAATCACAATGGGAGGCCCTAAAAAGATATCCCTATTTGCAGATGATATCCTGCTATTTTTATCTGACCCAGAATCTTCTATTCCGCACCTATTAAAACTTCTGGGATCCTATGGCAAGGTGTCGTACTATAAAAATAACTCCACCAAGACCCAGGCGCTGCCCATTAATCTACCAAGCGCCTTAATCACACACTTAGAAAGCAAGTTCAAATTCGACTGGCGCAAAAAATCCTTGTCATATTTAGGTATAAAACTGACTAAAACTATACAATTTATCCCTCACAAAAATCACATACCATTGCTGAAAAAAAATTAATCGAGACAGACCTGGGGAAATGGTTGAGCCGTATTAACTCCCTAAAAATGATGACGCTCCCATTGATACTATACCTCTTCCGCACACTGCCCATAGCACTGCCCAACAAAATAGTGAACAAATTCCAATCTACAATAAACGCACACATCTGGAAGAGGAAACCTCCCAGAATAGCACGCCACAAACTAGGACTTCCATTCATGAAAGGAGGCCTGGGGCTACCCGACATCGTATTAGCACAGGGCATAAGACTCCTCAAAGCTCCACAGGTGAAACAAAGCCCTGTCTGGCTATCACTAGATAACGCATGCCTACGCCCCTACGATATGGTCCACTCCCTGTGGGTCAGCATGATACCTAAAGCGGCGACTGCACGCATGCTGCAGTGCACAAACTTTCTACTAACTTCTTGGGTATCCTGGAGCCCAAGTATACTAGCCAATGACGCATTATTGTGAGCAGCCCCAGTGGAGTCCCTGACAGCCCTGTCACTGGACTCAGCAATAAAGCCATGGGTAGAGAAGGGGGTGCACACAGTACAAGATTTGTTGGAGGGAATCGAAGTAAAAGCTTATCCGGCTCTCCAACTGCAATAGTCTTTAGCACCAAGAGATCTATTTCTCCATCTAAAGGTAAAAAATATACTGACAACCAGACTCACACATATTCGTAATAAGCCCCTAACGGAGGCATTGCCCCTCAAATCAGGTCCTATTAACCAAACAAACAAAACTCCTATCCTTATGTTATAATGCCATCCTGTGGGGACCGGCTCAAAAGAAACTACCGTATATGTCTCAGTGGGAGACGGACTTGGGGATTACGTTTCCCATAGAACAATGGCACGCAGAAATGGCAATGACAAAAAAGGCCTATTGGGAGGCATATTGTAAAATAGCTATGCGGTGGTACTTGGTACCGCACAGGTTGGCTCCCGTGTACAAGGGGACATCTGAGCTCTGCTGGAGGTGTGAAAGGGAGAATGGAACAATGTTGCATATATTCTGGGACTGCCCAGACTTAAGTAGCTACTGGGAACAAGTACGGTCACTAATCTCATCCACGGCGCAAGTTTGCCTACCACGAAGGCCAGAGCACTATCTCCTACATATGTTACCTGATTTAGCAGGATACCCCAATAGAAAAGTGATCATAAGTATACTTACGCTAGCAAAAGTTAATATTGCATTCCACTGGAAAAACCAAGACAACCCCCTTAATAACGGTTGTTAAACAAAAACTAGATGTTATCAGTTCATACGAAAAAATGGCCTACAGACTCCAAGGCTGCGGGGAGAAATATGCAAGGGACTGGGGTTGCTGGATATCTGAATCAGGAGGAGAGTAGACTTAATGAAGCATGGCTGTAGAGGAGTAGTCAAGACAAACTAATTAATATAGACTACAATAAAAAGTGGTATACAAAATCTGCACTGTAGCTAAGACGGGTGTGGCAAAACCGACCTCGCCACTGGGCATTGGAGAAGACTGATTGCCAGCCTCCTGCCATGTGACTATGGCCCCTGGGATGTATTGCTGTTTAAAGACATGATTTGGATATAATGGATTTGTGTTGTGCTGCTGCTGGCCCTTTAAGAACCATCTGGGGACATACTGTGGAGTTACTGGGTGGCCACCATTTCATGCAACAGAGGCACATGGTGAGAACAATGGATGAAGCACATGGTGAGAACAATAGATGGCGGTCATTTTAACTCACAGACACTGTGTGGACTTTTCTACACGGTGCCATCTTGCCAGTATTTGGTGCACAGAGACATCGTGCAGTGGTTTTGGACTACACAACAGGGGACAGTTTGTTTTTCATTTAGCCTGTATTTGTTCTGCGGAATCTGCATTAAACTGTATCTTCCAAAGTACTGAACGGATCTCGGTGAATTTCGGATTTGTGGTTCACCCAGATCCCCCGGTTCCAATGATCTGTACTATATTTTTATGGGGTTATTGCATGTTTTGGGGTCCCTGTGATGTGTTTTATTAAACTGTATTTCTCGGTCTGTGATAATTAGATTACCCATTGTGTAAGGTAATTGTATCACAGGCAGAGAGGAGGATTTTGTGTGGGAGTGTCTAAGTGTATTGTACGTGTTTATTGGTTGTTTTCCAAATCCCTGTGGGTGGTACTAATGTGTATATAAGAACAATAAACCCACAGCTTTGGCAGTTCTGCTTGACCTCAAAACTAAGTGTCGTCTCGTTATTGGGGAATTGGATTGTATGCTGATTGCCAGGAGTGTAAGCTGATTGTATGCTTTTCCTGTTCAGCTGCTTACAGCATTCATATGCTTGAGAGCATTCATATGCTTCTTCGGTTCGGTGGTTTTGGTGTCTGCTGCAGTGCTTGGAGTCCTCAGGAAGTGCTAGGAGCATCCTTCAACGGAGGTACCCAGTCGGGGTGCCAGGTGATCCGTTACATCTGGTAAAGTGTGAACTCAACCCCCTCTTCCCATCCCCCCCTCTCTTTTCTTTCTTTTCCCCCTAAGCTCTTTCCCGTGTGTTTCATGTTAAAATCTGGAATGTTACAGAGTAATCGAATACTACATATGGTGCTCAGAACAATATAGATGGACCTAAACATGAGAAGCAAGCAAAAATCTAATTACTCTTTAAGTTAAGACGCAAGGCTGACCTTAAGTAAAAGTCTAAAGCACTATGTCTGCATATACATATGGTGTTTGATAACTGACAATGTCAATTAATGCTGTACATTACCTGAGCTCAATGCACTTTGTACCTTGTACCTTTGAACCTTTGTGATGTTTCAATAAAAATTATATATGGGGAAAAAAAAGGTGTTGTAAAGTGAGCCCGTATTGATTTTTCATATGAACTTTTAATAAGCAGTACATATACTTGGACTTGAATGTCTAAAGTTCAATAGGTGCAGACTATAGCAACAGAAAAAAAAGGTAATACAGGTTAACTGATATTTGAGTAATGCCACAATATATCCTATAGTGAAGAACGGAAATTTCCGTAACTGACACGAGTATATCTAAACCTGAAAATAATCCCCATCAAATAACGGTACACAGAAAAGTGCTTCCACTTCCCTTCTGACTTAAAATTCCAGTTAGAATCTATCCCAATTAAACAACATAATTACACATTCTAATAACATCTATACCAAGCCACAATGTGGCAATCAGTAGGTGTGACGGACCGCTGGCACTCCGACCGAGTACCTCCGCCAATTGATGCTCCTAGTGCTTGCCGAGGACTCCAAGCACTCCACCATAAACCATAAGCACTGCAGACCCCACTTCCAGCAATGCAGCTGCGCCGGGGTCTCGCCGTCCTCTACCTACCCTGAAACCAAGACCAGGGTCCAGTGGATAGACCTCTCCTACTCCAGAGAGCGTAGCAGGAACAAGCTCTTACATGAGCCTATACTCAGGGGAGTATTGTGATTATAGCAATCCCCAATAGTGTAGCTATCCCATCCCCCAAACATGAGCCAAGACTTCATGAGAGGGTAAAGCAGGTCTGTTTAATGGAAGCCAGTACTCACAATTTATACCCCTTGGACCTCAAGGAACACCGGCACACAGTAAAATCCCTCCCTTCTATCCTTGAGATAATTGGCCATAGTAAACTTAATTATCTCCAGGTACAGAAAAAAATGTGTAAGTTACAACTGCAACAAAACACATTAAAATACATAA